ACCCCACCTCCTCCCTCCGTCTGGTTAGAGAGCCGCGAGAGCGAGTCCGGCTAGTCTCTGGACCGAACCCGGGGGAGCGGCGCGTCAGGCTCGACGGGGCGGGGGAGGTACGCGGAGGGAGTTTAAAGGGACGCGGAGCAGCTGGAAGAGTTTGCCGGGACGGGCGGGCGGGTGTGCGTCTAAAGGGCTAGCCTCGCTCCTGGTGAGGAGGACCCAAGGCGGCTGGGGAGAACCGAAGGGGGGGGGAGCGCATTCGCCGAGGCGAGGAGAGCAACGCCTCCGGCTCCCTCATTTTCACCCGGGATAGTGGCGAGGGCCGGGGAGGGAGAGCGGCGGTGCGAGAGAGCCTTTGCCAAAATGCCTGTGTGGGGCAGGGCATCGTTTCGCCCTTCAGCGGCCGCCTGTGACAAAGAGGGACAAGTGGACGTGTGGGGGGGGAGAGAACGGCGGCAGACGGAACATTGCACCCCAGGGCGCAGGAAGCGGCGGGGAAGATCGCGGGACTGCGCCCAAGAACCACAAGCTCAAGGCATGAGGGCCTCGCCTTCCCTTGGGCAACCTACGTCTGGGATGGTGCAAAGGGGGTGGTTTGGGAAATGGATGCAGCCGGACCCATCACCTGGAAAAGACATCCAGAGATAGAGGGCAAACAGCAAACGAGAGACAGTCATTGTTCCTCTTCCCTGTGTGAGCAGAGGAGATTGGGTCTGATGGCTGTGATTCTCTCCCACATATGAGAGAAGTAGCCAAAAGTAAGCCTTGCTCCCCCTCCGCTATTGCTCACCTCCTCCTCTTGGTACAGAGGTGGTGAACCTTTGGCACTCTGGAGGTTTTGGACGACAGCTTCCACAGTCCTCTTATCACTGGCAACACAGAGTGGGGATTCTGAGAGTTAAAGTCCAAGACCTCGGGAGTGCCAAAGGTTCCTCGCTTCATCTTAGTGAATTGTGGAAAAGGTGAGACAGGTGATGGTGGCAGCTGCCGTTTGCTCACCTACTCCCCATTAGTCTCAAGGAGAATCGACCTCACCTGTCATTCATACTCTTTAAGCAGTGCAATAGAGAGGATTCACCCAATTTCAATGGCCAAGTTGAGTGAAAGATTGCAGGAGTACAAGCAAGAATGTGGAAGGAAGTGGCTGCTTCTTGCATGAGCCACAACTCTGCTTTTCTTGCACCCCATGCACGGTTCCTCTGGCTGCTTTGGTGATGGGCAGAGGCCCTGCCCATGTAGCTTTGTGAAAGGGTTAACAAGCAGTCAGAAGCTTTTTTTGAAGGGCAGTGGTCCCAATCCTTGTCATGCACCGGTCAGAGAGAGAGGTAGAAAACAGAGAAAGTGAACAGTGGTAAGCAGCTGTTCTTGCAAGGCAGGCCTAGACTAGAGCAGCCACTGCTTTCCCTTGACCAAGTGCACTCTCAGAATGGCGTGACACACCTCATCCTGACCTTCCAAAGTGAGATGTCCAGGGAGTAACTAAAGGTACGGTCAGCTGTTTCTTTCATACTGTCTCTCACTGGGCTGCTTTCCATGGACACAGGGCCAATATCTTCCCAGTGCTATTCTTCTCACTTTCAGAGCCAACTGTGCATTATGTACAATCTATCTGTAGAGCTGAACACATGATTTAGGCAGAACTTCATGCCTGGGTAATCAGACTTGCAAATAAAGCCTGGGCCAGCAATGCATTATGTACGAACTATCTGTAGAGCTGAAATCATGTTAGGTTCCAGACACATGACTTAGGCAGAACTTCATGTCTGGGTAATCAGACTTGCAAATAAAGCCTGTGTTTATGTTCAGAAGGTGAGGCCTAAAAGAAAGCAAGCTAGTCTTCAAAGCATGGGAGGTGAGAAAAGCTCCTGTTGTGACAATCATAGACCTTAACCAGTGAAGGAATTCCCTCCTTCATCTGTAATGTATGGATTGCCTCTTAGTGACATGAGCTGGTGTTTCTCCGCTTTGCACAGAGCAGATCCCAATCTCTCGCAGTTTCCTGCTGTGAGACAGAGCATCTCTTCAGCCCAGTGGCCCCTACTCTGTTGCTGGAGAAAAAGACATCACAAGCCCACCTATCTCTCTCATTTTAACCCTTCATGAAAAGTGGGAAAGAGTTTCACAAACAATGCTGTAATTTATAGGGAGGGGGTGTCAATTCTCTTTTCACTTATTTTTGTTCCACCTGGTTTGAATTAGTACTGAGTTTAGAAGATGATGAGACAGGGAAGTTGATTTGGTTACATTTGACAGTAGAGAATCAGGTCCAGAAGTGATGTTTCAATAAGGACATCCCACATTTTCTAATCATTTTGGCACTGTTTAGAATTGACTTTTTGGCTTCAGTTTTGAACCAAAAATCCTAGGAGTGAAACTTTCCTTGAAACAGGATAGATCTTATGGAGCACCTCTGTCAAGCCTGAGCCCCAGATTGTTGTCTAACTGAATATCCTCCCCTCATCCTGTTTCCCAGGAATTGAGAAGATTTCTGATTTTGCCAAGTATTGCCACCCAGTCAGCCTCTCTACCTGGATCCAGGCTGTTAGCAAATCTGTCTTAGACACCATGACCAAGTATACAAAACTCCACATGTATTGTACCTGCTAATTAGGTGGCTGGAATTGTGGGGACCAACTAAAAGTAGAGGCTTTTTATCCGCCTAGTAACACCGAGTCAAATGGTTGTGGAGTGCAAGCCTACCAAGTTCTTGGCACAAGGCCAAGAAAGAATTTAACCCAGACCACTCTGTTGCAAGAATCGCACAAAGTGGATTTTTTTTTTAAAAAAATGGCATCTGTTTTAACGTGGTTGCAGGTGGACCACAGTAAAGCACATTAAAGGGGGGGAAGGGAGAAACTTCCTTATAATTAAAATGAGGAGTTGTTCCTCTTGCTACAGTAACTGTATGTGTGCACTAATGTGTACTGTTCATTTTAGCATTTGCTTCTCTTCCTCCTAACACTTATTGTATAAGAAATGAAAAGTGAGGGCATGATTTTCCCCCCCACAGAAACCTCTTATAAAAAAGGTACTTTAATTAGTGGCTCAGTGGTGATCCCTTAAAAGTGTAATCAAGTTTGAGTAGATATTTTATGAATTGTGGAAGATAAGGCACATGGTATTTCCAGAGCCTGCACTGGTACAGAAAGATCATAAATCTTCTCAGAAGTAAGCCCCATTCTGTAGACACAGAACTACAGCCCAAGTGTAGCTGAGTTACATAAGTATTTCATGTTTAAGGACCTCTGTACTACTGTTGAAAGCATTAAAGATATGATGCAATTTTTAAGAGCTTGACCATTGAAAGGAAAAAAAATGATCAGAGATGTCACAGTCACTTTCCAAAGGTGCCTGGATGCTCATGCATCAATGGCCATGAATCATTATGGAATATTATTGTATGAGTGCTTGTAAGATATAGCTGTCTCCTTATAAACCGGCACATGAGTTGTAGAAAAATGCTTTTCGACCATTACTGTTCCAACTCCTAAACTATGTAACAGCTGCACATTTTTTGCATGAGCAAACTATACTCTGGAATAGTCTTAGAACTGATTGAACATTTGTGTAACATCAGTGAACAAACTGTATTGTGTGCAATGCATTTGAAGTTCAGTATAAGTTATCAAAATTGAGTATAGAAAATATTCACTCTTCTTTTATTGGAGTTACAAGTAAAGGCTAAAGTGTTCCAATTCATGAAGCAATTGAGCAGCTAGGCACACTGTTAAAATGTTCAGTTTGCTGCTTATTCTGTGAAACATCTGTTGCTTCCTATTGAATTAGACACAGTATCAACTTGAGCAAACTATTTGTGTTTTACTTGCAACTGTTTATGAAGAGATTGCAAAGTTAATGACAGTTGGACATTTGTTATGGTGGAGTTTATGACAATGTATCTATCTTCTTCAACAGAAAAAAAGGCTATGGAGCAAAATATGTAATTGACTCAGTGACATTATTAAAGATATGAGTGTTGAGACTTGTAGCTCTGTATCGGTGGCCTTGATGAGGGTATCAACGGTATGGTGCTGCAGTGATTAGAATTCTAAGTTTCATTATAGGAAACCCAATGGGCCAAACTAGAAAGCAGGTCAATAACCAGATACCAACATATTTCAATATTGATTTAAAATAGCCATGTGGGCCTCAAAAGAGCCATGATCAGCCAAGGACAGGCTTAAGCTCCCCAACCATTTTATTTCTTCCTGGAACTATACCCTCTCTAGTTTTTTTCCCCCCACCCTAGAGAAAATAACAACTTAATACCTGTATCTTCCCTTCCTTTTTGGTGAAGAACTGGATCACTCTGAGCAGGAATAAAAGGGTTAACTGACTCCTACCAGTAGTACCACTTTTTTGATAAAAAAAAAAGCAGAGAATTCCACAGTTGTTTCAAAAATATTTAACAGAATGACACATATCTTACAGATTCCTTAGTTCTCCATCTGCCAGTGCTCTTTTTTCCCCTTTCTGCTCTTTAATTTGTTCCTCCCACCTCATATTCTCCCCATTGTTTTAGTTCCTTCCAAATAGATAGTCATTCATCCTTCCATTCTGTTCACTCTCCCTGTAGCAGTCAACCCTGCCCTCACCTGTCCGTCACAGCTGGGCAGTGGCACCTCAGCCAATGAGGGGACGGAAGGTGGTGCCGAAGGGGGAGGAGCTGGTATATATAAAGGGGTGTATGAGGAAAGAGAGGGAGATTTTGTGAGAGATAGTGATGAGAGTGTCTAAGGGCCTGTGAGCCAAACAGTCAGTGAGGGAAGAGTCTGTGTGTGTCAGTGAGTGAGAGACCTTGATTAACTTCTTGTGATTAACTTACTTTATTTTGTTAAACCAATAAACAAGTTTAAGTTTTGAAGAATCTCATGATTCAGTGATTTATTGGTATTTGAAGCAGCAATACCTGGTGG